TGAGCATTTTTTAAAATCACGAAAATTTGACTTTTTGGCTATAACTTAAAAACAAAAGAAGATAGAGGCTTGGTGTTTGCTGGATTGGGTTAGTCTCGAAAAAAGAGACCGGGACATGGCTTTTACTTTTTTCGTATCTCTTATAGTTTCTGAGATAGCCTATAATAACACCCAAATTTGCCCACTACATATGTGCCCTTTTATGTTTATTTTTCTTTTTCTTCGAAATTATATGATATTTACATTAATATAACCTCTAGAGTGCTATGGAAAATATTGTAGGCTGATAACCTAAAATTTTAAAATTAAATTTATTGAGGTTGGTATTTTACCAGGTTTCGAGTTTAGAATTAACAAGTAAATGTCGAAGTTTTAGAGCTTTACCTGTTACCTTAAAGTGTTAAATGTAAAATACCTTAAAAAAAATTTAAATCATGGCACTCTAGATATTTTGATTGTACTAAGAAAAAAGAGAGAGGCCGAAAACAGAGAAATACAAGAGTTGGAAATACTTCAAAGTCAAGCTGAAAGTAGGAAATTTTATAAAAAGTAAATATAGTGACAGCTACAAAGGTGGGCAGATTGAGATGGGCAGGTCATGTGGTAAGAAGTGACGACAATAACCCAGCAAAAAAGATACTTACGGCAGAACCTACAACAGGCCTGTATGACTAATGGTGATGATGATGTATGCAACAACGAATATTGACAGCAATTCAAAAATAGAAAAGAAACTGAAAGTGATATTATTTTATAATTCAACGAAGGTGGAGGTGATACTGTAGATGTATTGTGTGAAACATTCAGTTTCTAGAAAATCGTGATAACCTCTTACATCGTAGTAATAAATGCATTAGTGATACACAAAAACAATCAAACCTGCGTAAAAACATGATCAAAGGAGATAGTACCAACAACCACATTAATCTCCTACATGAAGCATTGAGAAATGACGTCATACCCAAGGCATTCAGAATTAAACTCCCAAAGAATTTCAACGATCAAAAAAATATTCTGGAAAGGAAACTCATCACTCGAAGACTAAAACAACATTACAAAACCCGTACCTTAACAGACACAAAACTTAAATTCTTGCACATACTACTTGTAGGTAAAATTCATTTTATAGAATTAGAAGCGATTATTGACAAATTTAATGCGTATATCTTTTATAAATTATATGACGGTAATTTTAAACGTAGACGTAAGCTTTTATCACTTATTAAAGAAAAAAATCAGAATAAGTCAATTAATGGTAAAAAATCAAATAATATAGAATCGCAAGCAAAAATAGTTTTTCATGTAAATAGATTTAATAGTGATCAAATACAATGTATTGTTCATTCATCTGATTTAGACAGCATCTCATTTGCTCCTAAATTCACAAACCTAACAAATGTTACTTTAAACGAAAAAGAAATTGAAATACTACAACTTGGACACAAATATACATTTTATGACGAAAAATACAGACTTGAAGATTTAGCTATAGATTTAGAAAACCAACTATACAGACATAAAGATTTTTTAAATATGAAGAAAGATTTATCAACAACCCTCAAAATTATAAAAAGAGATATAAACTGCTCAGTTAATAAAAAACACAAAAACCAAATGACAACCATTAAAAACTTCAAAAAAAGAATGTTAACAAATAATGTCACTATTACACTTGGAGATAAAAACACAGGAATAGTATTTATTGATAAGAAAGATTACATTAATAAAACCGAACAATTTTTTAAAGAAAATGTTATAAACGTTATAAATAAGAATCCAATTGAAAGTTTTAATAGAAAAACAAAACAGATAGTTAAAGACTGTAAAGAAACCCTTTGGAAGTTTAACATAAATGTAAACAAAATAAATAATATGAATCCGCAATCGCCACTAATGTACAGTCTAATCAAACTACATAAACCGGACAGATCAATTAGACCCATCATTAGTAACATTAACACACCAACACAAAACATCGGAAAAGCTATTCATAACATAATTCAAAATAGTTTTAAATTCGAATCAAAATATTCAATAAAAAACTTTCAACAATTAATAAACAGCATTAAAGATATCGAAATTAATGATAAAACCCAATTAATATCGTTTGACATAAAAACTCTGTACTCAAATGTACCAATTACAGAAACACTCAATATAACTAAACAACTCCTCCTAAATAAATATTCAGAGCTAGAATTTCTTCCAGAACATGACATCAAAAACATACAATTAATGTTGGAACAGATAACAAAACAAAACTTTTTCACTTTTAACAATAAAACTTATAGAATGAACAATGGTCTGCCTATGGGATCTTCATTATCAGGGTTACTGGCCGACATATACATACGTAGATTCAATAGAAAAACAATTATTATCAGAAAAATATAACATATTTACTAAAAACATCAAATACTATGGTCGATACGTTGATGACATCTTAATAATACATGAAGGCCCAAAGTCAAACATTACAGCTATTTACAACATTTTAAACAACATTGATGAATTAAAGTTTACAATTGAGAAAGAATCTAATAATACTATTCATTTTCTAGACCTAGTTTTACTAAAAAACATCAACCTTAAGAAAATAGATTTTAATGTATACCACAAATCAACCACAACCGATGTCATCATTCCGAAAAATTCTTACATCAACAAGAATCATAAAGAGGAAGTTTTTAGATATATGATAGATAGAGCCATCAATACACCTATGAATGAACAAAATTTCAACAAAGAAATAAATTACATAATAAAGCTGGGTCTCAATAATGGTTATAACGTTGCGTTTGTACAGGATGTTTCCAACAAGATTCAGAAACGTAATATAATGTAATACATACATGTATATCCCGCATATAAGAACGACGCATACTATCTAACAACAAATTATCACAATTCGTTCAATAAAATTGAAAAAATACTACAGAGATATGATATAATTAGCATACAGAAGTCACTTAAAACTATACAATCTAATTATCAATTCCAAACAAAAGATAGAAGAAAATCAAAAGAGCGGTTTATACATAGTAAATTGTAGCAGTTGTGAAAAAGTATACATAAGGCCAGACGGAACGTAACCTCAACATTAGAATCAAAGAACACGGATATAAATCCTTACCGTTTGTTTATGCCTTTTATAAGTGTAAATTCACCACCTAAACCTGTTTCCGAAAATCCTTTTCGACAGTTGTAGATATAGGATAATTTTGTGATCTTGTTCGATTTTTTAATTTTTAACATAATTTTAACGTAACAATTTCTTGTAAATTTAAAATGTTTACTCATGTTTTGTAGCACCAACCTGATGACGGAAACTTTTTCCGAAACCGGTAGTTGAGAACAAATAAATTTCATTCTTCGGAATTTTTAATTTTTTAATATTTAACAAAAATAGTATTCCAAAAAATGCGTTTAGGAGTGATTTTCTGAAATTCCTTGCTTTGGAATTAAGTAAACAACATTTACAATATCGACAAACAATTGAAGGGTTTCTTTCAAAAACGACACATGGACACAAATTCAATTGTAATACTGTCATGTAAAAACGCGTTTATAAGTAATATTTTCAAAGGCTGTGGTTGAAGAAGAGCTACTATCAAAACGTCAAAGATTACATTAAGTAGATTTCAAGACTGTCCGTCGGGGAAGGATCGTAAAGCTAAAACTCAATGCGAAAAGTGTAATAAATTTATATGTAGAAAATGTAATAATTCGGGAATTATTTAATGGTTTTGGGAATAAACCATACGAATTGTATATTCCTGGCGTGCAACCTTTTTCTTCTAAAAACCAAAAATCACGTCCGGAATGGTGACCAGACGTCGAAATAAATTTTGGGAAAGATTAATGTATAAGCAAATTTATGGGGAAACGTAGATAACGAAAAAGTCGTTAAAAATAAAATAGACGTTAGAAAACGTAAAGTTTCATGGCTCCCACAGTTTGGGATTTATGTGATGATTTTTGGGATTAGCTAGTGGCGGATGTTATCTTCTGGCCTCGTGGTCAAAAATTGTTCCCTTCCCCAAATTCCCTCATTGGCTCAGAAAATTATTGTAAAACATCCGCCCCGTATTTTGGATTGGGCCAAGTGTCGGGAACATCCAGGCGATAGGAACGCCTCAAGAAGGTTTTTGCACCCCTCCAACACCCGAGGTTACTTAAGAGCTTGTAAGACCTTTTTCGAGACAATCAAAATTACATACCAATCACATGAGAAGCAATTAGAATCATAACGAACCTAAGAGATTTTTGAGTCAAAACGTCGTCAGCGCTCCGTTAGATAGCAACTTAGAATCCGCTTTAACGCCAATTCTAAGTGTCGTCGCATATCGAGAACTGTGACTTAGTTTCAATTGTAAATATTCTTTGCATTTTGAGCATCCGTGTCGTGTCGGAAATTGTGTTTCCGCTGAGGATTTGGTGCGAGAGTGGTTTTGGAACCTTCCCGGTTAAATTCCGAGAAGCCACCAAAAAGGATCCAGGGTTGCGATTCATCGGCGTGCCACCAAATCGGAATACAAGTCCTGAGTAAGTCTGTTTGCCAGTTTCCGTTATCACCTATCTGTCAACGAGAATTAGCTGTCGGGGTTAGATTCAGAAATATCTCTTTTTAAGTAACGTCGGGTCATAAATAAACGTAGATAGATTTTAAGGTTCATTTTATTCATTGTCAATTTTTACTTGTTATTTTGTTAATATAGTTTAAGTGTGGTTAGAACACTTGTCTTTTGATTTTCCCCTTTTCCTGACAGCCTTAGTGCAAGAACCCACGGTTCTGAAATAGTGACCGCGCGCTTGTCATTTAGTTTTGATTGATTTGCTAAGATCAATTAGGTGTCCTTGAGACTAAGAATTAGGAAGCGCGAAATACTGTTTCTGGTGGCAGCGGTATTACCAAAGGTGGAGACCGTTCAGAGGCGGCCTCACCACAAAAACATGTCGTTCCTGTTGTTTAAAACGCCATTAATAAGTAAAGAACGCAGTGACAATTTATTTATGTATATTTAACTCTAATTGTCCATATACATCAAATAGGTAAAAAATACCCAGTGCGCGCCCTTAAGTAATAATTACATACGCGCATCTCGGCGGGTTAAAGAATTTTTTATATAATAATTTCAAGTTGTCCTATTTTATATTCCCTACTACTAGTATTTCGAATTAAAACTTTATTCTTAAATTTATTATCCACTGAAAATAATGATTTTAAACTATTCAAGACAACATATCCAATTCCAACTGTTTTACCAACGGTAAAACTAAATCCACCCTTTGTAACAAATCCCATTATATCTCTCGAACAAGATTTCCTAATATTCACAACATCCGGTATCCACAATTTCTCCATTAATTCTTTATGCTTTAACATTCCTTCGACATCTTGTTTTACAACTTGTCCGTTTTTTCTCGCTTTTATCCTAAGTTTTTTCATTTTTTTCAACATAATGATACGTTCTTTTCGTAATTTCATTCTTTTTCTTTGATTTTCGTCCCGTTTTAAGGGCTCTTTAATTTCTTGATTTGGTTTATGTAGATCTTGATTGCGAGGTAAACAAATTAAAGAATACCTTGATGGGCATCCTTTTTTTAAAATTATTTTAACCGGTACAAGACATAATTGAGCGAAATCTACATCAGGAATTTTAGTGGTATTCAATGAATCCTTAAAAAAAATTATTAATAAAAAATCAAATAAATATAAATAAACTTACATTTAACATTTTTAATAACGTTTTATCTCTTAATACAAAAAAATTGTTTCCATTTGTAGTAGTTTCATTCCATTCATTTAAAAGGATATCCCAATTGAATTGAAATGGGCTTGATACGGCGTACTTAATGTAATTTGTTCGTCTATTTGGTGGTAAACTTAAATATTTTTTTCGATATAGTTCTGTTACTCTATCGTTTTCTTCTCGGCCTGCTTTTGTATCTGGCTCTAAAACGTTGGGGCGCCCCTTTTCGAATTGGATGGACTCGGATTCGCGTAAACCACCAGTTCTTGCACCCCACATTACTAAGGTTAACCACGTCGGCAAAGCCCAACCGCTCGGAATAATTAAATCCCAACCACTTGAATAACCTAAATTTAAATATTATTAAATAATTTCAACATTGTAAATTTAATTTATTTTAATACAGAGTAAAACCTCGATATAACGGATTAACAAGGAGAAGGAAGTGTCCGTATAGCCAAAAGTCCGTTATATGAATAATTTAACAATTAACCCTACAGAGAATACGTCATTTTAATGTTACAGCAAAACAGATAAGGCATAGGCCTGTCAGGCCTAACGTATTCACTGTAGGGTTAAACAATCTAGCACTGAATAACAACTAAAACTAACACTAGACCTGGAAATATTCGGGTTTAGCCATCTTAAGAAACGTACGACTAAACCCGAACGTTTCTAGTTCTAGAGCTAGTTTCACTTTTAGTTCAATAAAAATATACAGCAATCTAGCACTGAATAACAAGTAAAACTGGAACTACCAGCCTTGACTTATACATCATATAGGATAAACACGCCAGTGGTCGACCACTTAAGACATATTTCAAATTCAATACCCAATACAAAAATAGAAGTAAAGGTACAAGAAACTGATCTTTTTAAATTAAGATAGGTAGAACATTTCCTTTTCCAACCGATTCATGCTAGGACAAAATAAAACTAAAATTAGTCCAGTATTTATATTAATTAGACCAGTAGTCCTCCCTTGAATCGACCCGTATAAGTCCAGTGGTCGATCGGCATTTCTTCAGTCTGTAGTAAGTTTATTTTTTATAACCCGTAATATTTTTTCAGTAACTTTATAAAAATCAATTAAATATTCGTATGTTTTAATTTTTAAAACGCCTTACGAAATAATGTTTGGAAGAAAACCTACTATTAAATATTTACGTCTACATATATGGAAGTAGAATTTTTGTTCGAAGACCAGAACAGTTAAGGAGGTCTAAATGGGATAAAAAGGCTGATTTGGGAATTTTACTGGGTTATACTGAAGTTGGGTATAAAGTTTTAGTAAATACCAGAATCATTGTAGCTAGACATGTTGATGTTGTGGAGGAGAATGTTAAATGCATAGGTTTAGATACAAACAGAACTGACAATGAAATTGAAACTGATTCTTCTAATAATGAAATTGAAACTGATTCTGAAATACAAAATGAGAGTACAGAAATTAAATTAGAAAATAAAACAATAAAACAAAAACAAACGCCTCAAGAATTGAGAAGATCGAAGAGTTTGCGAGAAGTTTGCAATGTAAAAAATCCAAATAACTTTGAGGAGGCGTTAAACAGTAAACAGGCAGAACAGTGGAAAGTAGCAATAAATAAAGAAATGGAAAGCTGAAATAAAAATAAAACATGGAAATTGGTGAAAAAACCAGAGAATAAAAAATGTCTAGATGTTAAATGGGTCTTTACAAACAAGGCAAATAATATATGTATATAAAGCCAGATTGGTCGTGAAAGGCTTTTAACAATCAGAAATTGTAGATGACATTTATTCGCCACTAGCTGGAATGCAAACCTTAAAAATATTATTATCACATTGCTGCCAGGAAAAACTGATTATAGAACAAATTGATGTAGAAACTGCTTTCTTGAATGGTAAGATTTTTTCAGAAATCTATGTAAATCAACCGAAAGGATTTGATGATGGGACTGACAGAGTGTGTAAACTAGAAAAAGCATTATATGGTTTTGAGAGAAAGTCTTCGTGCGTGGTATAATTGTTTCGATTAATTTTTATGTGAGATGAAATTTATAAGGAGTAAATGCGACTATTGTTTATATAACAAAAGAGATGCAGACGATATTATTTACTTACAATTAGTAGTGTTTGTTGACGATCTGTTAATATGTTGTAAAAATAAGAAAAAGATCAATACATTAAAAGCTTATTGTCCAGTAAATTTAAAATGAAAGATATGGGAGAAGTGAAAAATTATCTCGGAATTAATATTGATTATGATTACACGAAACATGTTATGACTCTTAGTCAGGAGGAATACATTAAATCTTTAGCTGAGAAATATAAAATTAAAAGCTCAAAATTGTTTAAAACACCAATGGAAGTAAATTTAAAATTGGAACCTGCACAGGAGATATCTGATAATATTATGTATAGAAATCTAATAGGGGCACTGCTGTATATAAGTTCTGCGACTAGACCAGATGTAAGCTACAGATTTCAAAATTGTTAGTATTTCAAGTTGTATTTAATTTAGAGTGAATGTTTTATAAATGTAAGGAGGCGTGTTAAATTACATACATTTATTAACATACGCCATCTAGTAAGTTGTTTAGTTTCGATTATGATTTAGGAGTAATCAAGTAGTTAATATTAAATGTAGTTATTAGTTACGCTATGGTTACGAAAAGATACTATTTTTGTATTTAATAAAAATAACGACACGTTTAAAAGCGATCACGTATTATTTTTTACAAATAACACCCAAATTTGCCTACAAGGGCGTCGCCAGAGAGAGGCAGAGGGGGGCCACTGCCCCCCCTAGAGGTAGGTTCGAAAAAAAATTAAAACAATAAATATACATCTCGAGTACTGAACAATTATCGAATGGGATGCCATATTTTGATCTGGAAACCAAGGAAGTTCAAGAAGTATTCCCCGGATTCGTCAAACTTGATGCTTTGGATGCGAAATGTATTCCAAAGGAATAGATGAGTTTTCGGCAGAAGAAGATCTTGATCCGGACAAATGTGTTGGTTTAGGATTTAACGGTTGTTCGACGATGTCCGGGAAAGAAGGTGGTGTGCAAGCAATCCTACGCAGAAAATATAAAAAAGCTTTGTGCTTTCATCAAAGGAAGGTACCATCAAAGATATTATTACATTTTTTCAAGAATCAGTTTTGAGACGCAAATTGATACCAAATATTTCCAAGCTTTGCGAAACAAGGTGGAGCGAGAAACACAAAAATATTAGTGTTTTTAATGAGAATTTTCCTATTATAATGGAGGCCTTTGAAACCTCGTCACGGGAAGAAAATAAGAATAAATAATGCGACTAGAAAAAATACTTATCAGCTCCATGCAGCAGCTTCTAGAGTTTCGTTTATTCTCAGCTTTATTTTGATAGCCAAATACTCGGCTATGATGGAACCTGTGGTAAACGTGCTCCAATCCGTAGCTTTGAATGCAGTTAAGGCATCCCAGCACATTAGCCGCCTTTTGGAATTTATAGAAAACCACCGTAACGGTCCAGAAAACGTCACAAATGGAATTATTAGGGACGCTACTATCGTTGCAGAAAAACTTGGACTGGGAGAAGACATGAAGTCCTTGCCCCGTATTGTTGAGAGACAACAACATCAGAACAACCACCCAGCAGCAAGCCCCTCAGAATTCTGGCGGAGGTCTTTAATAATACCATACTTAGACTCGATTATTAATTCTTTTGAAGTTCGCTTTTCTGAAGAAAACACCCCGTCATTTTCCTTATCTAAATTACACCCAGCTCAAATGTTAGACATGTCCCTTGAAGACCTCGTAGAAGCTGGTGAAGTCTTTTCCCAATTTTACAATTTATCAAATATCAACAACGAAATCGAACTATGGAAAAAACTATGGCAAGATAAACCTGACTCAAAAGAATTAAGTGTTGTGGATGTCATAAAAGATGCCGACATTTTTTTCCCTGAAACGAGAAAAGCCTTTATAATTTTGGTCACTTTACCCTGCACGACATATACTGTTGAACGATCTTTTAGCAGCTTGAGGACAATAAAACCTGGCTTAGAAACACTATCGCAGAATGTCGTCTCAATGGTCTTCCCATGATGAGTGTGTATAGGAAGCAAATTTTTGAAAACTTTGAGGGTTTTATTAATAGTCTGGTTGACAAATTCGCGAAGAAGCCACGAAAATTATGTTTTAATAAATTTGGTGTTATTTTTTAAATTTTTTTGTAGTGTCCCCCTGGCCCACTGGCTGGCGACACCCTTGTTTGCCTACCCTGTACTATGTTTTTAACAACTTCATTTAAAGAAATAGTAAAACTGTTTTATTTAAAATTGTGTCTATATCCAGATTCAAAACACGATTACAATACTTTTCTATGCTTATTCATGAAACACGTCATGCTAAGTAAAAATCTAGGTTTACTTACCTCAAACCTTCAACTCAGTATGCATTCTTCTCAACTGACAAATCAGGGCAGTACTACCATCACTATTTACGCAATTACTTGTAATTTGGGTGACAGACACTGGCAACTAATTATTGACACAAGTCTTAAAAGAGGAAATTTTACTACTCTTTTATTTTTTAAATTTATAGTTGCAGATGGTCGACTACTGGCAGCGGTCGACCTTAGGCGTGTTTAGCCTAGATAAAGTAAGGAAATATCCTGAGTTTATCTATGAACACGGAATAGAGCAACTTATATCAAGGTTTTACACTAGTAAAAATAATGAGGTTTTGAGTTTGTTATACAGTGTGTCTCAGGATAGATGTTACAAGAGGTAGGTATAATGACTTAAAAATTTTTGAATTTTATTTTAAGGCTGAGGAATTAAGCCCTGCTTGGTGTGGAGAGAATTTTACGTATATTTTCATACTTTGAAAATCAACTCGGCCTTGATAGTGAAGCGAAAACTATTTTTAGTTCAGGTAAAGTAAGCTTTTTGTTCATGATACGGCAAAATATCATTAAGGAAAGTTGTTCAGAATGAAAAATTATGGCACTATGCAAAATTTCAGAAAGATGTACCTACATTGATTAAACCACCATATTTTAGATTAGATCAGAGTGAAAAAAAAAAAAAAAAACAATAAAAAATGCCATAAATAAAATGAGTTAAGTAGTCGCAAATATTAACAAATACATTGTATTATCCCTCAGTTTTAGTTAACATTTCAATTACTATACAGGGTGTCGCAGCGAGACCGGTCATTACACGTTTCTGGGGTTCTGACCAAAATAAAAATTTGAGAATTCAGACTTAAGTATTATCAATTACGTTCTCTTCGTCTAAAATATTTTCAGACTTTTAGCACTTCCGGTTATACCGGAAGTCGCCACCTATTTTATTTTTTTAAATGGAATATCCTATTATATTTTTACATATTTGGATTTGTCTGTTTTGAAGGTTTATAAATAACTTTATTTTTTGCAATTTTATTCGGCCGTTCTCGAGTTATTCGAATTTTTCTAGAAAAATCTGCTCCAGCGGACATTTGTTCAAAAAATCATAGAACACTCGATATTAAACAACATGATGGAGTATGTTTTATTGCCGAGAACGGCTGTCTAGTTAGTTTGGTCACTTTACTATGACACGTTAACTTTTCGAAATTTGGAAGCACCATAACTTCATTTTTTTAAATGGCACCCCCCATACTTTATTACTTACGATTAGTCGTCTTCGGCGTGCCATTTTACATCTTTTATAATCCATATGTCCTATGCCTAACATTAATAGTTTGCGAAATAATAAGGGTTTTTTGAAAAATGCTCACATATCATATCGATATTAACCTAGTGTGCCATGGAAAACAAATGTTTAAAGACTTATTGACAAACGTCAAAGTCTGATTTACGTTGTTTGATGCTTGTGAGTCTAAACCCAGTTAAAATGGATATTAATAACGTAAATAATGTTTATACAAATGAAGAAATCCATAATTTATTTCTTGTGCACGAAAAGTGCGACAAAGTTCTTAGTAGAACTTGCAGAATGTTTAATGAAAATTATCCACATTTACCTCCGATGACAAAAGGTAAATTTAGAAGAATAGAAGCAATTTTTTTTGCATTTTGGACGAATTAATCACGTGTTAAACTGACCAAAAATGTAGTAGATACTGCAACGGAAGAGGTGACCTTGGCTTATTTCGAACCCAGTCCCAACACCTCAATTCGAGCTGCCAAAGAAGATCTGGGAGTCATACTACGAACTTTGTCACGCTTTTCATGCATAAAAATAAATTAAGAATTTCTTGATTTGTGTAAATATTACTTTCGTTATTGTTATCGATTTTAACTCTTTTCAGTACTAATATTAATGGACCTAATAGATAATTATTAGCTCACATGCATCAAGTGACGTAAACAAGTGGCTTGTTTTTCATGGCACACTAGGCTAAATATTAAGACGATTAAGTAATAAAATATAGGGGGTGCCATTTAAAAAAATGAAGTTATGGTACTTCCAAGTTTTGAAAAGTTAACGCGCCATAGTAAAGTGACCAAACATTCTAGACAGCCGTTCTTGGCACCAAAACATGCTCCATCATGTTGCTTAAGCATGTTCGGAATCCTAAATTGATATCCCAAAAATCGAGTGTTCTCTGATTTTTTGAACAAATGTCTGCTGGAGCAGATTTTTCTAGAAAAATTCGAATAACTCGAGAACGGCCGAATCAAATTGCAAAAAGTAAAGTTACTTATAAACCTTGAAAACAGACAAATCCAAATATGTAAAAATATACAGGATGTTAAATTTAAAAAAATAAAGTAGGTGGCGACTTCCGGTATAACCGGAAGTCAAGAAATCTGAAAATATTTTAGTCGAAGAGATCGTAATTGATAATACTTAAGTCTGAATTCTCAAATTTTTATTTTCGCCAGAACCCCAGAAACGTCTAATGACCGGTCTCGCTGAGACACCTGTATATTGGGACAAAACAAAATGTGTATAAAATTAACAACAATTAAACAATTTATTTTGTTTTAATAATTTTTTCAGATTAATATCATTTGAATAGATAATTAGCAACAATTTTGTCTAATAAACAACACAAAAAACAAAATACATATCCTATTACTTCTAATTATACTAGAAAAGTGTACATTTTACCTGACAACTTAATATTAGGACAGTGTTAAGTAACTTCCATAAAAATGGAACAAATTAAGATAAGTAAACTGTGGAAACAACGTAAAATGAAATGTCAAATTGCCGGTTTGTTCCAAAACTTGTAACATTGTTTGCTGTTGAGTAAATCTGTATTTATCAATTAAAATGGTGCGTGGTATCTCTACAGGGTCAAAAATCCGTGAATTAGTAATTAAAAATTATTGCCGCAATAAAACAATACGTGAAATTGCAGACGAACTTAATATTCCTAAAAGCACAGTGTGAAATGTAATCAAAGATTATGGAGAAACTGGGCAAATTTTAGAAAAAAAGGGTAACAGTTTAGGTCGTCCAAAGTTAGTTTCTGATAGAAATAAAAGAATACTTGTAAAAATCTGCAAAAAAGGACGAAGAAATACTTTAAGACAAGTTACCGCTGAATGGAATAATGAAACTGGATTAAATTTATCAAGGGAATACTGTCGCAAATGGATTCTTATAAGTGTATTAAAGTTTTACAAGTTTTACTTACAAGTAATAATTTAAAAATGCAGCATTTAGAAAATTGTTGTTTTATAGGCAAAAGAAAAACCACTGTTAACAGAAAAACAAAAGAAACCCAGGCGCACATGGGCAAAATCTAAACTCTCTTGGTCAGGAGAAGATTGGTCCAGGGTAATACTCAGCGATGAATCGAAATTTGATTACCGTAAACGCGTAATTCGCAATAAACATGAGGCATTTCATAAAGATTGTTTAAAACGTTGTGTAAAATTTCCGAAGGGAGTAACGCAAAATATCAACAAATACTACAAAACAGCTTACTACCAAGTATCGTGAAATTAAATGTTGGCGAAAATTACATATTTGAGCAGGACGGAGCGGCTTGTTATATGGCCAAAACTACAAAAAGTGGTTTGGCGATCAAAATATTAATGTCCTGTCTTGGCCTTCCAACAGTCCAGATCTGAATGTAATTGAAACAGTGTGGCACAAAATGTAACAAACTTTGAGCAACAACCCACAACGGACATTGCCAGAACTTAACGCCAAAATAAAGCAAATTTGGGATGGATTTACGTCTGAACAGTGCAGAACCTTAGTGAATTCAATGCCCAACCGAATTCAAGCGGTTATAAAATCTAAGGGCGATGTTACTCCATATTAGAAATACAAATCGTGCCATGTCTTAATATTTAGTTGTCAGGCAAAATGTACATTTTTCTACTTTAATTAGATGTAATATGATATGTATTTAGTTTTTTGTGTTGTTCATTAAACAAAATTCATTTAAAAAATTTATTAAAGCAAAATAATCTGTATAATTGTTGTTAATTATACCTAAATTTTATTATGTTCCAATATACCGAATCAGGTGTAACAGGATCATGTATCTCCTTTAGTTTTGAAGATAATTGATTCAAATTTGGAACATCCTACACATGATAAGAGACACTAACTTTAGATTTTTAAATGGAACACCTGTATATTATTACATTTTTGAAATCTGAATAATTTTCTGAATCCAATGGTACCACATAAGTGACATTTCAAACGTCAATATTTTTTAGAATTTAATGTTTAATTTTCCATTTAAGTGTGCCATGAGAGTTCCGTTTTATTCTAATTAACCCGTCTAATGCTAGAAAAATCTAAATTCCGCCAAAAATACCAAATTACGTGATTTATGTGCAAATAAAGTTCATCAAAATGGTTTTTGGGGTATAACCCAATTTTTTCTAATGGAACCATATTGGTACCGTGGTACCATTTATTAGTACTATTAATAAGAAATTTATTTATACCTAGTATTAGAACATACGATAAATACAATAAAAATTACAGCTAAACAAAATAAGAAAATACAATTTTGATCTAATTAAATGTTATGACGTTACTAAGGTGGCTTTGGAAACAATGAAACTGTTTAATATGTCAAATACAAGGTAGATTGTTTGTTTATAGGTGTTTTTATTGTGTCTTTAAAAAGTGTTTACATTTATTGTTAATTTTGTCCAAAATGCCGCAAACTTATACAAGAGATGAAAAAGTGGACATGTTAATTATTTATGGGGAATGTAGAAGAAATGCCGTTGTAGCTAGAAACCTTTATGCCGAATGATATCCTGATAGACAATGTCCAGCGAGAAATTATTTTAATCGTCTTGAAAATCAATTCCGAAGAGAGCCCAACCATGATCCCGAAGATAATTCAATTATTAACGAAGAAACGGAAATTAATGTTTTGGCACGAATAGAAGTTGATAAGACTCTTTCTTTAAGACAAATTGGGTTTGAATTGGATATCAGTCACCAAACGGTAAGCCGAATTTTGCACAAATACAAGTATAAATCTTTTAAATACCAATTGCACCAGCACTTGTATGAAAATGATTACGAACGTAGGATGGAATATTGCAATTGGATTTTGCAGAATAACGTGCAGCCAAACAATGATTTTTTGGGAATGATCTTATTTTCGGACGAATCCAGATTTACGAATTTGGGATTATTCCACAGACAAAATACAAAATATTGGTGACAAGAAAATCAAAATTTATTGCGGAGGGTAACTTTCAAGTGCGGTTCGGTTTCAATGTCTGGCTTGGAATAATCTATAGTAGAATCATTGGCCCAATAATATTTGAAGGACCCCTGACTGGAGACAGATACTTAGGATTTCTGCAAAATGAAATTGCGGGT